TGGCAAAAGCCAAGCGAGCTTTCTCAATCCGTGCAGAGATTTCGCCAGACACCAACTCAATAGGACCGATAAAACTCCCAAGATAATGTAAGTGATGTTGTCGACGCGTTTGACTACTTTATTCCCTATCCTTAGTTCAGGTGTTGACACAGGCCATTCCTGAAGAAACAACGTGAGTTTACAGGGGAGCAACGCATCCCAAATACTCTGGCGTTATTGCTCAATGCTAACAAAACACTGCATTTTATTAACGTCTTCATCAAACAGGACTATGTCATCTGAGTATTCTGTGTCATGAAGTGGACCTCCTTGTAGAAGATCAATGTTCGTCAATTTAGACGACTAGGACGTTATTTCCAGCAGTGTCTATGATGAACATAATTCTAGATAGTGGACAGTCTTACCGGACACCACTTGGAGTTGTGAAATCAGATGACAGTTCGCCATAAGTTATCAATCGACTGGTAGTGTTCAGGTAAAGAACCCTCACATGGTCTGTGTACTTCGGAGGTACACCTTTCGATGACGAACACTGTCACAAAAAATTTCGATCTACAGAGGCGAATGCTGCTTTTAGGTCAAGAAATACTATCATTGTCGGTCGTCGATAAGGATTCCTGTGTTCTGACGAATGGTGAATATGTAGTCGATGCGGCCACGACCAGGTCTGAAGTCAGCCTGATTTTCTCGGGTTTGCAGTTTACGGGTCTTTGTTAGGCGTCCGATAATTATTGAAGCTAGTATTTTAGATGCTATATTATTCACCATTCCTCACGGATTTCTGTCTCCGGTGGTAAGGCCTTTTGAAAAACAGAGCTAACATTTTAAAGCCTTCCCACAAAAAAGCCGTGAGCGGCCGACCTCAGGCAGTTGTCCTTGGGCTCTGCAGCCACATTCCCAGATCGTTAAGACCAACACCAATCCAACTTCCCTTTCAGGTTCCTCAAGAAATTCTCTTCCACGGTGTGGACAGCCTTCCTACACCTCCTAATAACTTTCTAATCTCCACGATTATATCTTCGCAAGCTTCTTTATCACTTCGCGCCGCTAGTGCAGACGATTCGAGTACGCGGAACGTTATTCCTGGTATCCTGGAACCATGTTCTAGACTACATGTAGGAGCTTTTAAAGTCCGAACACTGAGCCAAATAGGAAAAGACTTCCTTAGCCAGGACTTTAGAATCTCGTGCCATAGATGTGTGCTGCGTTTCCGAAACGCGCATACAGGATACGAGTAGCGTCATTCATCTGACCTCACCATATCAAAATTAAGAGTCATTTCGAATCACGCTTCGCGTATCTGGAAGCCGTGATTCTGCTTGCTGTGGCCTCGCTTGTGTAAGTATAGCGTTGAGTCCTAGGACAGAACAAGCTCTCTTAGACTGGATGGTCGACTAAAAGAAACAGTAAGAACTAGGAAAGATAGGGACACTCTTCGTTGCCTCTTCGTCGTCCCTATCTACTCTCCCACTGACTGCAGCTTAGATGATGTAAAAGATGAGTTTTACAGAAAGCTCTCCAAAATGTTAGGCAGTCAGTCAGTAACAACGTAGAACTTCGTACGTACGTACATCAGTTCGAGTTAGGCGCTCTGATGTAATAATAGTGGCTGTTGACTTGAATGCTTAAGCAAGTAAACTAAGCGAAAGGAAAAACACCTGGGTGGATCTTATAGAGTCGTGGCTCAAAGAACAGATAATGGCGATCGTCTGTTGCAGCTATGCTCAGATAACGGCCTATTTCTAGAAGAAAAAACAACTTTAGGCATAAGGAAAAACACCTTTTGACATGAAGACCCCCGAATTCTTCCCAACGTTGGACCCAAATAGATCAAATCTACATCAGCCACCGATGTAGGGGCCTGCTAGAAGACTGTGGCTTGTTCTAGAGCACATGCTTAGATTCAGATCATGCTATAGTGCGAGCGCGTATTAGTCTGCGTCTTACTGGACGTAGGACGTGAAGAGCAGACTAGAAAAAACCAGGCTGGTTTTCGACCTGGACGTGGTTGTACAGACCAGATATTCATAATACGTTAGGTTCTAGAACATAGACACACATTCAGACGCCCCACAATGGTAGTATTTCTCGACCTTAATGCGGTATTCGACTCTGTTGATCGTAAGGTTCAATGGCAGTGTTTTTCACTGAAAGGAGTACCAAAGAAGTGCATTAACCTTATTCAGGCTCTCTACCCGAACACAACTGGTAGAGTGAGAGCTTATGGCGAACTGTCATCAGAATTGATTACCTCAAGTGGTGTTCGTCAGGGCTGTCCACTCTCTCCATCCTTGTTCAACTTTGTGGTCGACGTACTTTTAGAGATGACACTCTCCTCATCTAAATTTCCAGGGGTTGAACTTCTACCAGGAGGTTCACTTGTTGACTTAGAATATGCTGATGACATAGTTTTATTTGGTGAAGACGCTGACAACATACAGAGTCTTCTGACCACTCTAAGCAACAATGCAAGCATGTTCGGGATGCGATTCTCTCCCTCGAAATGCAAAATGTTGCTTCAGGATTGGGTTCCATCGACACCCGAACTAGTGATAGGGAGTGAAGTAGTTGAGTGTGTCGACCGCTTCACTTATCTTGGAAGTCTCATCAGCCCTTGTGGTCTGGTGAGTGACGAAATCTCAGCACGGATACAGAAGGCTCGACTAGCTTTTACCAACTTGCGTCATTTATGGCGTAGGCGAGATATCCGTCTATCAACCAAAGGACGTGTTTACTGCGCAGTAGTTCGTTCGATCCTACTTTATGGCAGTGAAACATGGCCGGTAAGAGTGGAAGATATCCGTAGGTGACTAGTATTCGAGCATTGATCGTATATCTTGAGACTACCAAGTAATGCAGTTGTCATGAAACGGGTATAAAATAAAGATGGCAGATCAATTGAAGTAGTGAAACTTCATCAGTTGATATGACTGGGAGATAGCAACCGATGATTATAGACCTTGAATGACATGGCTCAAAATTGTTTGCAGTGGTACAAGTGCATCCACCCTTTGTGTTCTCCCAAATTCTGATGTTCTGAATTCTTAATGTCCCTTTTTTTCTTTCCAAATTTAATTCATTGGATTATACACCTTGAATAACACCCTCAAACCCTATTCTTTTCGATTACTGTTTATAGTTTCACTAACTCTACTACAATGGAACTTAAATGAACAATTGTATCTCTGTGTTAATGTGGTACGTCAACTTGAACTGATGTACGTACGTCCATCATTCGTTTGGTGCAGGGTGTCATCATGTTAGACGATGTCTCTCCTTATGCTTAAAATAAGTGTTTGCTAAAAATGAACGATTGTCAGAACACATTTGCAGCAGACGGTCACTACAATCTGTTCGCTGAGCAGGAATCCCAAAATACCCACCTAAATGACTTTCTGTTTTGTTTCAGTTACCTACCTTGGCATTATAGTCCCCTGCTATAATTACTATATCTAATCGCTTAGCTTTATCAAGCAGTTTAGAGATCTTTCTGTAAAAGTCATCTTTCACTTCAACCGAGTTGTACTCAATGGGAGCGTAGGCAGAAACGACGAAAAGGCAACGACGTGTGTCCACATTCTTACGGAGCCGTTTAGCCGAACAGCACATAGACAACTGTTAACGGGTATGCACTCAAATAGTTTTTGTTCCGCCCTCATACGTAGTGATATGCCTACACCTACCAGTCCACAAGAATCCGCCATGAAGTCGTCAGATACACGGATAGTGTGTTTCGTCGGCTCTTCGTTTTGGCGAGGTGAGACCAAGTGAATGACCACACTAGGATCCTGTATGCGTGTTTCGGAGACACAGCATACATTAATGGTACGAGATTCTAGGGTTTTAACCAAAGAGGCCTGCTGACCGACTTGACATAGGGTGGGTACGTTGAAGGCTCGAATGTGTAGTTTGTAGCGAGTTTTCAGTAGACCTGGGACAGTGTTTCGCGCACTAGAATCGTTGGCTATAGTGACACTTGAGGAAGTTCAGAGTTAAAAATCGATGTAGGAGGGATAATGGAAATGAAAGAGGAAGACTGACTACGAATACAGTGAACTTGGATGCTGTTAGAGGTATGAAGACGGTTATCACTCCGCGGTTGCCCACACCGTGGATGGGTTTTTGTAGAGGTACCTGAATAGGAAACTAGGATAGAGGTGGTCTTAGGGACTTGAGAGGGTGACATTGGGGTCCAAGGGACAACTTCTTGAGGTCGGTCACGTACGACATTTTGTGAGTTTTCGTGTTATTTTTTTATTTAAACACATAAATATTGGTACAAAAGAGGGACCGAATACATATGCGCCACACAAGTCATTTGATTTGTATATGGGCTGTGATACTGCCCGGGCGCCCAGATCGAGGTAGGTGGTTTTCTTAGGATGCCACATCCCGAACCTTCGAGCTAAGGGTCTCATTCACAAGGCAGTGGAACAACATCAGTAGAGGCAGTACCATGGTAGCCGGTGACCAATAATCAGTTCACACACCATTTGTTCCCTCAGAATCCTGGAACCCACGTCCACCTTTGGTTTGAAAGCACGGTTTCCCAACTCCCCTAGGTAGAACCTCCATGTCCACCAACCCGGTTAAAGTGCCGGACATTCGCTTCTCGTCATCTCAATTTCGTAAACAACACCCCTGCAGCGAGAAGGAAGTGAGTACGACATCCTTGGCAGTGGTTGCACACGCGTGGCCATGTGACAGCATTTCCCGGGGGAGAGCGGACTCTCCCCACCCTAGGATGTACTAGGGCTTTTGGTGGTAGGACCTTGAGGAACGACTGTTTCATCCAATACAGCCCGATTGGTTTATCACGATAGGCAAGCCCGACCACCACGTCAATGTGTCAGTGAAGTAGTAGTACCAATATATTACCCGACAGATTGAATACAGTGGATAGGGAACGAATATTTTCGTATAGTTAGCATACCTTCCAGTAGGTATAAAATCAACAACTGTCATTAAAAATGAAAAGTTTACAGTGCTTTTAAACGTACTGTTGAGCTAAAACACGCCGAGATAGAAGATAGGTCTTCAGATCACCATTTAGCATAAATTCCATAATTAAATAAAGATGATTTTCTTTCGGATACAAACAGATACCAACTAAACGTACAACATTTCGATGGTCTAGACTTCTCATTAGTTTTGCTTCCGAAAGGAAATCTGTTTTCCCTTCGTATGTAGCTTTGTTACCAATCACTTTAACAGCTACTGCTTCCCAACGCCCATTGCGTTTCGCTTCACCGCCATACACCATACCGAATGCTCCTTGACCAACACGACGATTCAAAACTATGTCGGCAGGTGGAATCTGACGGTAACAAGAAACACGAAACTAGACTTATTATAGTTACAAAGTGAAATGTAACTGATTAGGACACAAAAAAAACTTTGAATATCTAAACTTGTTTAAAAGATTTATAGATATTTACTAAATCATGACATCTCTTCTATTTTTATTCACTTATAAAAGACTATCACTAGGGAACGTATGTGACATAAAGTTGTGCAAATCTTACTCCTATCATTCATGACAAAAGGAACCACTGAGTAATCAACAGTTGGGATAAATTCAGGCATAGATTGGAGAAATGAGATGTAACTGAGAATTAAGAGCTATTATACATTTAAATACTCTGTGACACGAGTAGTAATTATGTATTTTGACAATCTGGAAATAGTTCACATGAAAATTATATCTTTTGAGCAACCTGGTCATTATGAATATTTCACGTCGTTGTACCGATATGTAACATAACTTGTTAAAAAATACCCCAGAAATCGCAGTCGCGAATCGATACAAATATTCAAACCTATGTGATAGGACGGAAGAGTTTTATCTGAAGCATTTTGAATCGTTTGAGAAGAATACTTTAAGGATGTTTTTGTGGTTTTAATATTTTCTATACGTTTTCTTAAACCGAAGCAGTTTAGATAAATGGAAAAATATAAATATCTTAATTCTTACTTCTGAACAAAAACTATTTAGAAAAACGTGTGGTACGTGTGACTGACTGCATACTAAAAGTTATCAAATCACAATTACACAGGTGCTTGGCATTTACCTTCAGTGATGAGTTTTAACATGAACAAACGGTAGGTAGGATCAAGATAGTAGTACACTAAATGAAAAAATGATTCACTTACATCAATATCTTTTAGTTCATTACAAAGGTTTTCATATGGTTGACGAATTCTTAGTTGTGTTTTCTTTAGTTTGCGTCGGTAGTAAACAATAAACAGGACTAAACATAATACTGTTACAGAGAGTACAATCGAAATAGTAGCGATCACGGTAGAACCAGTACAATTCACACCGAAAATTCTGCTTACGAATCCAAACACACAGTCATCGTCATGTTCTGATCCATCATCTGGTGGTCCATCGTTATTACCCCAATTCACATCGTTAATCCAGCGTTCCCCCATTAGTTGAGCAAAACGCTCAGAAGCCGCTAGGTTAGTCAGATCAGCTGCATCCACTAAAGAACTCAAAGGCATAGAATTATCGTCGCTTACAAACTCTTGGTCTAAACTCCATAATACAATGGGAACAGTGATATTGATTTGATGTTGTTTAAGAAGCCAAAAATCAGCAACACGCTCATTTAAATTATTAAAACGTAATTGAGAAGCTGATTTAATTTCATCTTTGCGGTATACATAGTGGAAACCTGTGTCCAATGAAATAACTGGATTTGTAAAAGAATCATCCATAATGAATCTTGACGAAATAGTATATCTAAAGTCTGTTTCAAAAACTAACTCTCGATATGCCTCCGCAACCGACATTGATTCAAAAACGGAAATAGCACTTGGATTCTGATGTAATAAGTGAATAAGTGCTGCAGCTAGAACAATAACAGATTCATATGTATGTATTGCGTAATCATGAGAAGAATGAACGTACTCAACGTCTTCACTCTTCGTATTAAAAACTGAACGTTGTAACTCGGAATCTGAAGGTGAATCGTCATAGTTATTTGTAAAATGACCATTAAATAATGGATGCTTGAATTTACGAATCCGCAAATCTTGTGCATACTGAGTTGAATACCGACGGAATCGTCGACCAGTGCCCTGTTGCTTATGAGACGATGAGTCAAAAGCAAATAAATTCACATCGTTAAATGAAGGAGGCATAAATTTGTGAGCCAATGGTTCCATGATCAATTGATGTCCAACCGTAAAAGTCCACGAAGTTATGTTATGCATTTCTTCATGAGTACATTCTCTGGGATGCACATCAGGTGCCTGCCACCAATTGCTTGATAACCAAGGATTAAGAAACCAGACATAACCTGCATCAAAATGCATTCCTAAGTGATATGCAGCACATAATATGATGGCTGTACCTTTAGCAAAATATTCAACCATGAAGATACGACTAGTACGATCGTTCATAAGTTTCAAAGCCTAAAATAATTGAAATTAACTATTATCATTGTCAAACACGTAGTAAACGATTTAAAAAATTATCAAAATGTTTATAGAATCAATGCTATTTTATAGTAAACCGTTCGACACCTCGGTTGGGGTCCTGTAGATAGTGCAGTTCAGTGGACTCAGACGTTATCAGACATGTTTCAGAATGAAAGCTAGTGGTGATCCTAGTGTAATTTCCCTTTACTTCTATTATAAAAGTGAGAGGAACTTTTCTGAATTTCACTGGATAAATAAAATACGTAACCTGCTTTGAAACTTTAAAATTTTTATTGCATCGACAAAAGCATCAAAACACATTTTCCAAAAACCGAATCTACTTAAATCACTTGGATTATTTATTTTTAATAATAAATTTTGCTTTAAAAACTATATGTAACACCATACTGTACTTTTCATTTCCCGAGATCATGCGCTTGTTTCAGCGACTGATAACACAATTCAATATTTGAAAAGCATAATATTATTAATTGCTAACAGTAAAACTCGGTAGGTCAGCGATTCTTTCCTGAACTCAAACAAACTCTAAAGCAAAGCTCAGAAAGATCCTTGACCTTATGTCGAAGATGAAACTACTGAATTTATAAGACGATGAAATGGTTAGACAGTATTGTAAATATAGTTGACATTTCTTTTAATAACCTTGAGATGCGTCACATCGATTTTTTTTTAAAACAGCTTTTTATTTTTGTAATTAATCTTTCAAAAGTTAACCTTATGTATACGACTGAGTTCATGCATCCATATTAAATAAAGAGAAAACTTGAAATTGTGGAAAACACTAGACTATATTTTCTTTTTTACTGTGAATTCGACATTTATTAATATATTATATGGTCATTGAATTATGGATCCCAACTTTGTACAACTCATTTTGGCCACATTAAGTGGACTATATTATACGCTGAAATACACAAAAAGCTTACCTTAGGATAAACAATTAAAACTGTATATGGTGATTCACATTTAAAACGTATCACTTGTCTATGTACAAACTTTTTTTCGAAATGTCATCTCATCCTCTGCTCTCAGAAGTTATATTCACACTTTATAATGTCTGAGTTTCAGGAAATTTCAAAAACAAATACTGCATCGATTAACGCAATTACTTAAAGTTATAATAGTTCTTGTTTATCGTGTGAATCTTAATAAAGGTAATTTGAATGATCGTAGCATTAGCTAAATGATTAAGGTGTTAGAATTCTAGTTACTTGGTCCCTAGTTCAAATCCCGTTTCCTCTATATAAGTTCAGGGAACCAGGTTGTACTATTAGTCCTGACGATTCGTGTGGCTCAAATACAGGTGTACTTGAAGAACGAGTTGATCTATTTATTGTACTTAATAGTTTAGTGAGAAAAATCACAAAATGAGATTTTAAAATCCAATGGATAAAATTTTCTTTGAGTATATCTACTATCTTTGGAGGAAATGACATACTTGATGTACAGTAACGTATGTGAGTTGATTTTCCTTCATTACAAAGTCAGCAATAAGATCTATACCATTCGACTGAAAAATCAAAGGATCAAAGAAATGATCATCTTCACGAAACACAGCAACACGACGCCAACCCCAACTACTGAATAATCTGATCAAGATTAAGCTAAACAAAAAAGTAAAACAGTCAAATTGATTTCCTGATTATATTTTGCGATGTATAATAAAGAAAAAAGGGAATAGAATGTAGAATACACGATAACACCTATCAGTGAAAAGAAAACAAGTTTTTAGTAGTATATATGCACAGGGAATGTAAGTTAGTTAATTCTAAGTGTGAGGTGACAATGAAGTTTTATATATGCGGTTTACTGCCCTTACAAATGAAGGTACACACGAGTATGTATTATGAGGGCTAAAAACACTCTAAACGCTAATCAAATACACAGCAGTACTGATTACAATACAGCAACTACGTACAGGTTTCTTTATGATACTAAATCACATTCAATGTCTAAAAAACTCGAAATACTACCCGAATGACCGGACCAAATTTTAACGCAATCGGCTGTGAATGGAATGTCTACTCAATAAATGTACCTTACACTAGATAAGTAATGCTGAGTAAAAAATTATTGCCGTAGATTACAGTTTGAGACGATAAAGTTACCTGTTCAGTATTCTATGGAGGTGTTAACAGAGTTTGTGTTCGTACTTGGGTAAGAAACATATCTTAAGATGTCATATTAAATGATAAGTTTAAATTTACGTCAACGCCCTTAAAATGTTTTATTGAGATATTTAGTGACCATGACTAACTTTTTAGCAAAAGATTGAAAAAGATAAAAGACACCTTGTCAGATTTTTATGAATAGCGTCGATAGGCTTTTTAGTTGAACTGTGCATAAAACCTACTTAGAGTATGTAACCAAATCTCGGTCGATATGATTTGACCAGGTCTACGAAAACACAAAAAGCTAGGTTGAATAACACTCACTAGAACCACATACCTCACATGTGTCATTGATGGAACAGTACGAAAAAAGTACGGATACTGATGACGTTTTGCAAAACGGACTGATTCAACGGTTGGACTAACAACAATCTGGCGACGCATGTTAGCTACCTCAACAACTGGTTCTATTGAATCCGAACACAGAGCAGCTAAAGTGTGAAAAACAAGTGATATACGGATCATTTTAATAGTTGTAAATTTAAGCAATCTAAGTGACGAGAAAATTTAATAATTTATACATAAGGTAAATGGTTTCAAGAACCAGATGGTGTAAACAATCATTTCAACAACCGGATATTTTAAATATTGATCAGATAAGTTTTAATTTCTATGGTTTGAAAATTGTCCAGGTGTCAAATCTGGCATTTTACCTTGTTTTTCATCCTGCTCAAAACTGTGATTAACTTTATGTAAGGTTTCTCAGTGTGGGGTGCGTTTAAATTTTTTTGGGTTTACTTACAGAAAAAAAGGCATTAGGAACATGGAGTAATGATTATTTTACCAAAACTAATCAGAAAGAATAAATATAATAACGAGCACAAATATCTATGACGTAAAAACAAAGATACGCTTAAAAATAAGACTACCATAACCATAAATGATTTGAGACCAGTTAAAATAGTGAACGCCTGTTTATTTAAGAATGAGTCCCGACAAAAGACGGTACTTCGGATAGGTGAAATAATGTAATCAGTCACAATAGGACAGACCTATTTACTCTAATCTCTATTTTACCTGAAAAAATTAATTTTATTTACTGCTTTATTTGTTTGTAATATCTCCCGTTTTGTACTGATAGAGAATGTAGCAACTTGAACCACTGTAATAGTCAGTTACACAACTTTATTGCGGCTGTTTATTTGCAAATACCACAACATTTGTAAATACCGTTCAAGCATTCTAATGTGCCTATTTTAATGAAAGACTAATGATGTCTTGGAAACGTACAGATCAAAGTGTAATTTGCAATAATAAAAAAACTAACAAGCAGTACTTCAAAGCACAAAACAGTGCATTAATACAGGCTAAACCGATAAACGTGAAAGGAAAAATTGAGCCATGTGACGACAAATAGGTAATTAGATGTACATTTCACATGAAATTAAACAGAAAAAAATCTACTTGCCGATCACTCCAATAATCTTCCTATTTTTTGAAGCTGTCAGTAAATCAAAGTAATCATTTAGTACAACGTCCTGAGAACAGGTAAGATTACGAACGTCTAGCGTCAATGCATATTCAGTATTGCTAAAGTAATCAGGGTTATGATTGACAAAATTAATAGCTTGTTCAGCAACTATGAAAGATAATTGAAAAATATGAAATGCAATGAGTAATCTGAATACCAAAGGTTCATCAAATACATTTATGATTCGGCAAGACATAAGTAATGTCATTATTAAGGAGTGACCATGAATTTGTCAATTGAAAATCACTGTGATGAAACGTGCATACTTTTCACCATAATCTATAGAAGAATTGCCTAGAACATTTGCTTGGTGTAAGCAATGATTTTAAAATTAGCTAACAAGAAGTAGGACTTAAAACTATAAAGCCTAATAAGTGCGGTGATTATTCATAGAGATTCGCTTTAACTCATTAATGGAAATATAAATGTGCAATAATTTTGACTGAGACTTCTCTAAAAAAACTTAATTCTCAAAAATATAGTTTGGAAAAAATTAATTTTTAAATTTGTAGCGGTATGGCACACTGTAACTCAACATGTCAACCAGTTTTAAATAGTAGTGGATCATCATGTTTAATAATAACCCAACTGCCATATTACCTAGAAAATGATGTATGCAATGAACTTTGTTGGAGTTCTAACACGCTGAAAACGGTTACATTATGTCGATAATCGGGATGATAATAATAACTACATAGCTTAATACTTACATTATGAAGTAACATGATAAAATTACTTATTAAGATGTAAAATCAGTACGCTTAATCTACCAATGAGACAAAATATTACCGTTCCGGACGACCAACTACCAAGAAAAAAATTATATAAAAGGTCTACTTTGAAGAAAGCCATTTAAGTAGGAGTAAAAGCTGGGTTTATAGTGACTTCATTTAAAATATTTTGAATCTTGGTGGGAAATATTGGTAAAAACAATTTTAAAGTATAATATACCATCACACTGAAATGTCTGGAGAATACAAGTTTGAGACAGTCAATTTAGATGTTGAATTTAGATCACTGTAACAGTAAATTATATAAACTGTTAATAAAGGACTTATAAATACAAACGATGAAGACGAACGCACAAAAAGTAGGAATTGTCGAAACAACATTTAATATCCTTGAATATATCAGAAAAATGATAAGTTGATATTAATTGCTTGTTCGAATCTTAAGATGTCCCCTCTGTCGCGAAAACAAGCCGTACAATTATAATAAAAACGGTATTTATATTTGTATCCCAACAATACTGTATCATCTGTACTGACTAATTGCATCTGCACTAAAAGTAGTCCTACACCAAGTGTTGTATTCATATTAATTGTGTTCATTATATTTTGTAACAGAAATGTCAGGAAACAGGGAAATAATGCTAAGGAAATAATGAAAAGTTGTTAAAAACCATAGCATTTGACTTTAATAATAACCAAACATATGACTCATCTGTCTTTGCAATATTTTCTCTATTATCAAGTGAAGAGATTAAAAACCACTTCCGCCGGAGTGAACTAAGTAGCACCGGAAATACATACGTACTAAATGTATTTTACAAGCTGGTGCATAAACCTGGAAAGCATTGTTATTTTCCTTAACATTCGATGACAACGTCGAAATAAAGATCCACATGATAGTCTTGTCAACTATGTAAAACAACTACCGAATAAAAACTTCTTAGCTGAAACTTAAAAAGTCTATTCTAATTACAGTTATTTAGTTTTTTTTAACTGAAACTTACAAATAATAATCGGATATATTTTGTATAAAACCGGGTACATTGGTGATAAATTGTGGGTTTGAATGCATCAGCTTCACCTTTAAGGTGTGACCTGACAGTGATTTAGCAAAAAAAAACACGACCGGGATGGAAGAAGACTGAGTATAATGAAGAACGTCTTACCATGGTCTAAATTCGAAACTACCCATTTCCCATAGAAAGCGAAAAGTCCAGCAACCGTAAGATTAAGCTTTTTATTCCAACCTTTTGTCCACGAAACCCAACGAGTCGGAGATAAACGAAGCCATTTGCAAGCAATATTTCTATACTGAGACTGTAGATCCTGGCCAGAGTTTGGATCTAAGTTGTTAGCCTGGAAATATTGATTAAAGGAAAAATGAAAGTATGCTTTTCAAAGTTCGCCTAGCGAAATTCAGTCTACTAAGAAAAGCACTTACTAATTTCAGTAGATCTTCATACTCCGATTGAGAAAAATGCATCCGGTCAACTAATTGATAAATGAGAGGCACAGTGCTCTTTAGCTTGGCCCATGATAATTTTGTAGCTTGCTGTGACTCAAACTGGCAAAAAGATGACTTCTTTGAATTTTGAAGGTAGGATAAGGTGCCTGAATATTGCCGACTACAGTGATAAATCTTATCAAGCGCAGTTTTTAGTACTGTTGAGTTTAAAATGCTATTCTTCCCCAAAAAGTGTAATCCCGAAGGCAAAGGAGGAGAGCCAAGTTCATGTGGATACCAATTAATAATTGACATGACAGAAGATGAAGAGTGTAAGTTTGGAAAGTGTGCAAACTCTTTAGATGGAATTTCTGATCCAGTGAAATAACGGATGAACTCTAACAAATAAATGATGTGAAAATATAATTAAAATTATGGTGAAACTTCAAAATAAAAAAAGATTATACCAAACCCTACGAAATGTCTTGAGATATGTTTTGGATGTTAAAATTACTGGTAACTGAGATAGTGATCTCAAGGTTACGAGACTGCAGTATTTCCTGGTAAAACAAATCAGATGTTAATGTCCAGTGGCCGTAAAGCGTATATCAACGACAAAATTCTTTTCGTAAGATATTGAACATTAAAAACAAATCACTTTAGTACATAAATTAATGTTAATCACAAAATTAAGAACAGGTAGAGCCGAACTGATAATAATAATTGCTTGTTTAAATGTACATCATCAGTCAAGTTTACGGTCGAAAATGAACCCCAATATATATTAACTCAAAACAAGCTACAAACTAACATTATTACAAAGAGACTTATTCAGATAGTTTCAGTTGAGAATCTGTAGCTCTTAACGTTAAATTCACGTAGGTGGATATTTCCGGTTTAGACTGATATAATAAAAATAAACAATCAACTCATTCACCAGATACTTGTTTATGAGCCACACACAATGAGTGAAGGCTACATAGATGCCAAAACCGAAGTGAAAAAGGGGTTTGAACTTGGTGGCTGAAATTCTAACGCATTAACTGTCTTAAAGAAATAGGTATTGTGAAAGTTGAAACTGACTTCTTCAGACTACTATTAATTACAATTTTGTTGGCTAGTTAGTTTGCCTACATATACCATTCATCATAGGCTTTCGTTCGACTCACGAACTATTTTCATACGACTTACTATTCCCAATTTGTTCCAGTTTGTTATCTAATCTCCCATATCCATAGCCACTTTTGGTTTATTCATGTATAATTATTACTAGTCATTTCATGGTGTGATGCAGTCCATTGAGTTTGTATATAAATAACGTTTGTTTGTAATATAGATACATAAATGCTGGACACCTGAGCAAGCGAACGGAGGGCTGCCGACCCAAGGTCGATGGTGCTGGCCGGATGTGTAATTGGCTAAGTCACACACTAAGCTATAGGGTAAATAATAGAACAAATTAGAATCAGAATTTCGATTAGTGGCTTGTTACGTGATTTTGGCCACGGGTCAAGAGATATAATATTAGCCACTGTGAATCACGACTCCAATGTTTTGGTGTTCTTAGAGGAGATAGTCTGACAGCTTTCGGAGTAAGGCATCAATAATTGACATATTTATTGCTTCTGTTTATATTAGTTGAATTTAGTAGCCTTACGATAAGTGTCAGATGAGCTTACTACTTATGTACTCAGCTCAGTAGTTTAACGCTGTTGTTTTGAAACATTCTTTAAAATATCCCAAGTCAGTGGTCGAAACACAACTGTCCCCGGAAAAATCGCAAAATATTTATATATAACTAATCTTTTTACAGCTCAATTTGATACCAGATCATGTCGAATTTTTTTCTCGTAATATAAGTTGATTTAAGTTTGGTGTTTATAAGAAACACGTCTCATCACAAATAATACTCGACGTTCACGAACCTACAACACTGTGGCGTCAGTAAGATATAGAGTTATATTTCAGGACAACAATTATGCAGCGCAGCAATGGTATTACTTTACGAAGTGGCAGTAAAGTTAGGAGAGATAGTTGTCTTTTCAAAATGCTGTTTACAACTAATGGGACTTAATTAGATTACGCATAAATACTGAGTAATAGAAGTAGATTAGTTTATAATTGCCTGTCCATGTATTTACTTGGAAGAACGAAGGATATTGATCTATAAAAAAGTTCAATAAATACTACAGTACTGAAAGAAATAATCTTACCATTGCGGAATTTGGAAGCATAGCACATATCCAGATCACATTTTGATTGAACTAGAGTTTGTGATAATGGAATTTGAGAATTAGTTGGTCCATGTTTATCACGACAATCAGACTGTGTCTGTAAAAACATTGATGTATTAATCTTAACTAAGCTTTTTGTAAAGAAAGTTAACTGGAAAATGCACAGTACGTAAAAGTTATCTAGATGAATGGATAACAAAATACGAATATCCCTGTAGTTCGAAGCAAAACTAAGAATTTACATACCGAAGGCTAAAAATTAGGATAAAGCTGTAAAAACAGTAATGAATATCACGGATATTAAACTACTAGATCATTTTATACAGGAGTGATCACTAATCATTAACATCAAATCACATATAAAATTATTTAGGTTTTAATAACCGTTTGAAAATTGAACTTAATAGCACATTATTTGAGAATCTAAGGAAAAAAACACATGAGTGCAAACAATGCAACATAAAAATCCTTACGCGAGTAAGCAGTGTGGCGATTTGTTTTCATGTAAATATATTACGTTTACCGTTCTCTGATTTCTCGAATTGACAGCACTGTCATCCGAATCTTAGTATTCACCGAAGTACGCATAAGAACCGGACATTTGCCTTTCGACTGAATACACCAGTTTAATGCTTCGGTCTGCTTTATCTCAGTATTTTTCAGCCTACTCTTACGCTAGCTGGCATTGTTTATCAAGGTAGGTAGCAGATAGACATGTGTGACACATGATCAGACAAGTCTCATTAGTCGACTTATCATTTTTACACTATATTTGTATACTATCAGAATTACTCGTCTTGACACCTCTATATAACAGTCACGCTTTAAAGACATCTAAAATCAAATACTACTATTACTGTACATATGAAGAATTTACCCATATTTTCAGGACGGACCAATCAGTATCAAGTTGCATGGAACCTAGTGAAACTCAATATTTGAATGATATTCGAATGATAATGTGCATGAAATAACTTTTTTTTACGATAATTCATTTAGGTCAGTCAGTTATAATGAACTTCAAGCCTGGGATTATGTGTTAGTGGGATATAAATTCGATTAAAGAGTCCCGTGCAGGAAGCACAGGCACGGTGATTGGCTATTTCTTAACCAATCAGCACTAGAGGATCCCCCGGGTGACTCTAGAATACTCTTATGTGAAAATTATAAATGTTTTTCTTATTGTGATTAATACTTCCATCCAAACATGTTATATAATTACGTTCCTGTTCAATCGTATTCTGATTCGGGGACTTTTCGAGTGAAGTTGTGTCAAAGAATACTAAGCAATAACAGTAAGTTAATCGTAATAAGAGGAATCCTAACACTGAGTCGACAGTAAGTTATCATATAGTATTAGCACGACAAAACGAAATTAAAAAGATTAATTCTGAAGGAGTCAAAACAACTGGGGTAGCAAGAATAATGAGGAAGTAAAAACACTTAATATGGTTCAAAAATACGAAATAAAAATTGTATGTATAAAGGGATACTGAGATTCAATGTCTAGAATAAGACAAAGAACGAATACAGATCTTGAGCCATGTCACACATTTCCGTCCAGCAATCGCGGTTATAGCCTGTACGTACTAAAATAGTCAGACCAAGAATCGCCGACTTTACATTGGCCACCGCGAACTTTTTTCAACTTACTCTTAAACTAGCTAACAGTGGCTGTCGATTTAGACAGTTTAGTGTTGTACTCCACTTGGTTACAACTTACGTTCTTCCTGATAATCATATGAGCATCACTCATGAATTATCGCCTTGTAAAGATCTATTTAGCCGAAAGCATTGTGTAACATCACATCACCTGTGTTTGTAGATCATGGGCTTTGTCGATTTCAGCCATTTTTAATTACTCTATTTCAAATAAATCGTTTTCTGTCTTATGCTAAACTCCATAATTGCAACTAAATTGTATGCACGCACCATCAGCCGGTAAATATATAAATAATTGTTTATTGTACACCAAAACATTTAATCTAGAGCATGTCTCTCATGGATCCACTCATATTTAACAAACAACTGTTAGTCATCTGTTCAAAATTTCCACAACTGTCATCAATTTTACGTATTAAATGAATTTCTTATAACCATTCATATGTATTAAAAATTTTACTAGCTCCTATCACGGGTGAACAATAATGAGGTTGAGAAAATATCCAGTAACTAAATAAACCATGTCAAACTTAACAAACTGGAACATTAGTTGGAATTCTTAATCTTCACGGTTATACTCCTGTTCTTTCGGTTAACGTGCTAATGCAAATACAATTAGAAATCAACTCATATAGACAGTATACCGACATAAACGCCAAATGACTTTCTAGTTTGAACTAAAAGTAATACAGATATCAGCATTGATATAATATTGGTTGTTTTTCTATTTCTAAACACAAAATACTTATACCTGGACCACTATTCTAAAAGACTTATCTAGGTAATCAATGAGATCTTGAGGCCCTCCAACGCTTCAGATTAGATATGGTCTTTTCAAACTTGCTTACGTGGTAATTTCTACCAACTCATTCGTTGCGAGAAGACAGCGTCACCGTAGACGCTAACTCTGACGAAGACATCTAACTGGCTTAATATCCCCTATACAGTTGACAGTATGACTTAGTCCTCGGACCTTACGCTGCAGCTTTGAGTTTTGCCGCTCTCTAACCGACCTTCCCGAAATGGTAAGACCCAACAGAATGAGTGTTCCATCCAATGTGGCTAGATGAGGTTATCACGTTAAGCAATCCCAAACACCATATCAAGGTGTTAGTTGATTATTGTGTTGACGACTGAAACGCAAGATGAATCTGGCGTATACCAGAGCATAATCAAAACCTAAACAGGTGCTCCAGAAAGTGATAGTCTTGTGCACAATAATACAAACGACTTTCGTCTGAACCGTAGACCCTCAACCTGAGTACTGAAGTCCACAGCAATCATCAAAATATATATTGGACGCAGATCGTCGTCATTACTTAATTGAGCCACAAACCGTTAGTGGAGATTAAGAAAGTCATTGCTTCGCATGATAGTTCAATCTAGCTCTGGTGAAACCACTTCGTCTGTTGGTATATATAATACCACCTTTTTCTGGTGTTAAGTGCAGCTGATAATAGAGAGATTGGATGGTGATTCCATAGGGTCCTGAGAAGGCTCACATAGGACATTTTACGAAAAGACAGACAGTGCATGAATCTGCGGTGATTCACTAGGATCTTAAATACAGATTTTTGAGATACGACAAGCAACAGTGCTGAGACTCCGAAGTTATCGCCATACCTGTCTGTTGTTTAACATGAATCAAAGTACGAACGGTGAAATCAGCTAAAAGTTCCACGCACGATTTCAAAATAACTGGATAATTCTGGAACATCACAGCCAGAACGTTTTGATTTAGATATATTTTGACGAAATAATCATAAAAAGATATCAAAAGTGTTCCAATTAGCTCAAGTTAAACACCCAATAGAAAGTAGTATTAAATTATATCTTAAACGTTTTAGTTGCTGTAAAACACCACATTAAATCCAAGACGTAAAACGTAAAAATTAATGCACACAACAAACCTCTGTCAATGCCGAGACCTGTGACATAAACTCTTCCCTTGAAGAAATAGCCCATCGGTTAATTGGACCTAATGGTCCATTATCGATCACTCTATTATTTGGGACCCAAGAACTTGTTGTCGTTCCCAAAGATAGCCATAATTCAAGATTTATGTGAACATCTGGTAGTTTGTAACAGCTGAAAATAACAATTCCATGGTATTCACGTACAAAACAAACGAGTTCGTATTTATATTCAAAACTAGGATACAAAGCATCAGGGATAATTCATTTGAAAGGATGGAAAAATCAGTTCGTGTGAAATCATAGGACAATACTTATCATCAGCAACGGATCATATGGAAATTACCATCAAGGCTGTGTTAAACCAAACGGAAATTACATTTCTATTAACTATTTATATGAGTTAACACAACAAGTATATGAAGAAAGTTTTTCACATGTTCAGATAGCATAGAAAAATTTCCACATCTGATTTTATTTAGACACAACATTTGTACATAAGGGCACCCAAATACGTATGCATTTACTTGACTATTAACACAGTAATCTGACAATCCTCTTTACAAGAAGCTTTAAACCTGAACAGGCTCATACAATTGGTTATCCAGTTAGCCTTTCAAAGTACTAAGTCCAAAAGGAACTTCAGTAACTAATAGATGTCAGAAACTTAAATAAACGATGTTAGAGTTTGTAACGCGTCCCAAAAAAATCGCGAAATCGTTGAAACGCTTAGGCATAGATATGAATGACGATGAATTTGAAATTCACTTTGCAAAGGGATTAACAATACTATCAGGGTGTAAGCACCGCAGGAAGTGAAATTTAATCTTGGAAATCTGCACTACACATAACTGTTTTCCTGACGCGTTCCTATGCCCATGAAATATTCTTGTAATTGGAGAGCATCGCAAAGGATGTATCTGGACTAAGCAATTTGTGGTATAAAAAGTGGATTTACATGAAATTCTACTGTACGTCAGCAAGTACCAACTAATAAAAAATAAGAACGATGTTAGCCTTTCACAATTAAAACAACAGGTTGTAAATTCTGATCGCCAGGTATCTCGAGCTACACATCGTTTACCCATGAATTATGAATACAGTATTTTAAAGTACCATATGACCTTACCACGTGGCACTTAAAGACTCTTAACATTCATGTCCATCGCGCAGTTTATCAGTGCTCGGGGAGATCTATTATCAAACACCGGGTACGTCTCCTGTCAACCAGTTACTATCGAAACATCCGGATTACTCAAATATTTTTTCGGTGAATTACGCCAGAAAGTGGTATCTTTACGTCCTCCCACAACATGTATCCCAATATATATAGTTACACTCCTTATGAACATAGGAACATGAGTCGATTGTTAAACAAACCAGTATTTGTTCAGGATTTAGTGAAAAAGAAACACGATGTTGAAATTTAAATTCATGACGATACATTTATATAGCAAAATTCTGAGCACATGAGATATACACACTCATCAGACATATAAATATGTTTAACCCTAATATCTGAGTTACGCACAATCTCATTATGACCGTGTACGGTGAATTTGCGTAGAAAACAAAACTAAAGATCAAGACTCAATCACATACTTTTTCACTTACTTAGAATCTTTGCAATCTAATCTACTAATTGCTAGTCTAGGATGATCCATATCCTGTTTGACAAATTCTATAAACTGATAGCCAAGTCTTTCACGTGCCAATATCTCAAATATGTAGTTGACAATCCAATGCGACGACCGGTTTGTGACTTCCAACTTTAGACGGAGCTCCTGGTTGTTAAAGTGAAAAGATCTATTCCATTTCGATCGTTCTAAAGAATGTAATTATAATAAAGTGGATTACCATACCTGACATACTAAGACATGAGGGGGTAGGTGAATTTGAATCCAAACAGCTACCGAATGTGATTAAGAATGTGACAAGAAAAACAAGCCGATAGCTTAACTTGAAAATCGGACGATCCATCTATTTATGATATCCACAGACCATTTCCCCCATCTTGAGCGAAACCTCCAGCTTCGAGGAAACTTACATGATTATTCACGAGAACCTAAATAAGACAGCAATGAGCTAGATTACAAAATTGTTTGAAAAAAATTCGTCGGTAAAAAACTTTGCATGATTATAAAAACAGATGAAAATTACTCAGAAATAGTACAGATAATAGGAATGTAACTGACCCAGCTTTGAGTTGGGCTGATGATTCTACTCGACTGCTCTGAATGATTTAGCTGGATCAGGATATGAACTAATGATCTACTGGCTGAAAGTCATCCTTCGCACCTTGGATTATGTTCAAAATACATGCCTTTAGTACATTGATAGAAAATCCTCTTTCTTTAATACTTACCAACTTATACACATCATGTCACCGATGAGACTCGATTTTAAGAGAGCAGATAACTACGTTAGTCTCTGTTGAAACAGTAGAGATTGAAGTACATACGAATAAATCAGGTCACTCCCATTTGATTAGTATAATGAGTTGCAATGAATTATCAGTATTTGTGTCAGTGATGTCTAAAACAAGTGGAAACAGGCTGTGCTTTTCATATCTAATCAAAATTCATCTCGATGTAATATGATTACAGAAGACGGGTTAATTTGGATAGTATATAGTAAGCCAATACATTAGATTGCTTTACAGAGTTATCGACTTAATGGAAGTTACGCTGTAATTAACTCTTTGTGTCTGGGATTCGATGTGACAGTAATTGGTGTGAACGTTAGGTGAAAGGTTAATTCTCAATTAAGAGTATATTTCAGGAACAACTAGGAAAACAGTTAGGCAGCCATGTATGTGATGCCCACCCCGAGGCAGTATGGAATGATATCCGAAAAGCTGTGGAAACAGCAGTGATATCTGTTAGTAAGGTAAACCACAAGGTTAGGGAGAAACACTGGATCTCAGCAGCATCTATCGCACTGATAGATGCTCGGAAACTCATTCCACCTGGCTCTGAACATAATGAAGAGCGGAGTCAGCTTGAGCGCAAGCTGACAAGAAGTCTACGCAACGATCGTCAACAGTGGTGGGTGGCGAAAGCAAGAGAGATGGGAGAGGCAGCGACAATAGGTAATAGCAGACAATTGTTTAGACTCGTTAAGGAAACCGGTATCAGGAAACCGACTGTCAGCAAAACACTCTCAGAGAAAGATGGACATATTATACATTCTCAATCCAGGAGATTGGATCGATGGGCAGAACACTTCAGGGATCAGTTCGACTGGCCTTCAGCCACACTTCGGTTTCCCACGATCTCCAGTCAACCTGAATGGCAAGTTAATGTAGGTCCTTCGTCTCTTTGCGAATTTGAAAAAGCCACAGGGAATCTGAAACGAGGAAGAGCAGAAGGCCCTGACAGATTTACTCCTGAGATTTTTAAGGATGGTGGTCCAGTATTAGCAATGAAATTAACCGAGGTCTTAGGCAGAATTTGGGAACTGGACGTAATCCCGTCTGACTGGTCTCAATCACTGATTGTGCCAGTTTATAAGAAAGGACAAAAGTCCTCTTGTGACAATCACAGAGGAATCACCTTGACTAATATAGTGTCTAAAATATTCGCTTCAATAATACTTCAACGCCTAACTAAAGCTCGTGAAGAGCAAACTAGAGAAAACCAGGCCGGTTTTCGACCTGGACGTGGTTGTATAGATCAGATATTCACACTACGTCAGGTTCTAGAACATAGACACACATTCAGACGCCCCACAATCGTTGTATTTCTTGACTTTAAGGCGGTATTCCACTCTGTTGATCGTAAGGTTCTATGGCAGTGTTTGTCACTTAAAAGGAGTACCAAAAAAGTACATTAACCTTATAAAGGCTCACTACTCGAACACAGCTGGTCGAATGAGAGCTTATGGCGAACTGTCATCAGAATTGGTTACCTTAAGTGGTGTTTGTTAGGGCTGTCCACTCTCTCCATTGTTGTTCAACTTTGTCGTTGACGTGCTTTTAGAGATGACACTTTCCTCATCTAAATTTCCAGGAGTTTGACTTTTGCCGGGAGATTCACTTTTTGACTTAGAATATGCTGATAACAGTTCTATTTGGTGAAGATGCTGACAAAATGCAGTTTTCTGACCACTATAAGCAACAATGCAAGCATGTTCGGGATGCGATTCTCCCCTCCAAATGCAAAATGTTGCTTCAGGATTGGGTTGCATTGACACCCGAACTAGTGATAGGGAGTGAAGTAGTTGAGTGTGTCGACCGCTTCACTTATCTTGGAAGTCTCATCAGCCCTTGTAGTCTGGTGTGTGACGAAATCTCAGCACGGATACAGAAGGCTCGACTAGCTTTTGCCAACCTGCGTCATTTATGGCGTAGGCGAGATATCCATCTATCAAACAAAGGACGTGTTTACTGCGCAGCAGTTCGTTCGATCCTACTTTATGGCAGTGAAACATGGCCGGTAAGAGTAGACGATATCCGTAGGTTACTAGTATTTGATCATAGGTGTCTTCGAAATATTACTCGTATATCCTGGGACCATCGAGTAAGTAACACAGTTGTTCAGTCAGTCAGTCAGCTACAACGTAGGACCAGGCACATATGTGCATCGGTCCAGGTTGCCATACCGCATCAGCACAACAAGATGAACACCGGATTCATAACAGTGGTTAGGTAAAAGGTGGTAATATATAAGAGAAAGATTGCATATAGAGATATAGTACAAGAAGAAAGAGTTGGTTAGTAGAAAGAAAGATATGAAGCGCTTTTAATCTCTTAGTTTAAGGGAAGACAGGGAGTGTATACACCGACGCCATTGTGATCGATTCTGAGCCATGTCACCAAGAGTCTCCAACCATTGGTTACGATAGTCACGCGGACCCCAACCAAGTAGTCTGCATCTACCAACATGGCTCAGACTAGAAGTTAATGACTTCAAACACTGATGCCACGTTTTGGTTTGGCCGCCCCTAATTCTCTTCCAACCATCTCCAACACCGTTTAGCATTGCACGTCGTGGTAATCGGTGTTCAGGCATACGTAACACGTGGCCCAACCATCTCAGTCGATGAAGATTAACAACCTCACCAACTGATTTACCATCATTCCCTAATACTCTGCGTTTAACCTTACTATTACTTGCCCGGTGATCCCAACAGATGCCAACAATATTTCTAAGGCATCTGTGGTCAAATACTTGTAGCTTACAAGTGTCTTCTACTCTTAATGGCCATGTTTCGCTACCGTAAAGTAAAACAGAACGGACTGCCGCGCAGTATACTCGTCCTTTTATTGATAGACGGATATCTCGCCTTCGCCACAGGTGACGTAAGTTGGCAAAAGCCAAACGAGATTTTCGAATCCGTGCTGAGATTTCGTCCGATACCAACCCATTAGGGCTGATCAGACTTCCAAGATAAGTGAAGTTGTCAACGCGTTCGACTACTTCACCCCCTATCCTTAGTTCAGGTGTTAACGCACAGTTGTTAGGAAACGGGTACTAGGTGAGGATGGCAAATCAATTGATGAAGTAGTGAAACCTCATCAGTTGAAATGGCTGGGACACGTGTTACGTATGTCCAACCACCGACTGCCTCGATGTGCGATGTTCAGTGGTATAGGAGTAGGTTGGAAGAAAGCTAGGGGCGGCCAGACCAAAACATGGCACAAGTCCATGAAGTCACTGACAAGTGGTCTGAGTCATGTCGGTAGGTGTAGACTACCTGGTTGGGGACCGCGAGATGATAGCAACCGATGGTTAGAGACCCTGAATGCCATGGCTCAAAATCATTTGCAATGGCACAGGTGCATCCACTCTTTGTATTCTCCCAAATTTTGATCTCCTTATTCCTTCTTGTCTCTTTTTTTCTCTTCCCAAATTTATTTCACTGTATTATACTCTTTAAATAACATCTCCAAACACTAATCTTCCCGATTACTGCTTATACTCTTATTACCTCTACCACTACGGGATTTAAATTGACCACTGCATCTCTGTGCTAATGTGGTTTGGCAACTCGAACTGATGTACGTACGTACGAAGTTCTACGTTGATACTGACTGACTCACTTAATTCTCAATTTAACTTCATAGAAGTATTTAACTCTTTCTTCACTTATTACCTACCTTTTTACCGTGGTATATTTAATTTTTATTGATTTTATTGTGGTTTGTGTGGGCGTGGTAATGATACGCCTTCAGGTCACTTAGCTGACTGAGAACTAGTATTATTTTAGGGAACACAGTATTGAGATTAAAAAAGCGGGCTACCAGTACTTCAGTCAACACTAACCTTTTCCAAACAGCTGTTATGATGTCAAATCTAGAGTGCCGGAGTAGGGGCTAGTTGCACGGGTATGGAGCACATTCAAGTTACTCACCCACCTTTTTTGTTAGTAATGAGGACTAAGTAATATTCATTTGATAGTCCCACTATGTATCAGCGACCTCCAAAGAAACCTAAAGCTAAATAAATACAAGCTACATTTGTTGTCTGTAGAAGTAATATATAACAGTCTATGTATTGCGGTACAGTATAATTGTTTTGCGATTTTTAAGACATTTGCCGGTTACTAGGATTGAAGACTGACAGAAACAATGTGGTCCTTATAATCCTACCGTAATATTGTCACTAAACAACAATTGCCATTGTCACAAACACTATATACCGAATTTAGGCTGTTTGGATTTATATGCTAACAGTAGATCCAGTTGTCGGATGATTAGACTTGAGAGATTACTTCGTAGTACCGAACCTTGTACTTATGTGGCTTCCTAAACAAGCAGTTTAGGGCTGAAAGCGATGTTTATTGATATGCGATGATTCTGTGAGCAGCTATATCCACAAGTTGCCTTTGATAAAGTCGTATGAGAAAGACGGACAATAATTTCTTGTCCTGACATCTGATGAGGATATTTTTACTATACGTTAAAGAGAACTAAATTGGTCACACTAAAATGTACCGTAGTATAGACTATATGCATAATGAACTCACAGTATACAAGTCATAGGACGAGGTTGATTAAATACATGAGGCTATTTAAATATGAATATACAAACTGAAAACCCAGAAATCAATTATTGTCAGACGCTATTTTTATGTCTTTATCAACAGCAGTCATACAAATCAAGATACAAAGCTAAAAACTAATCACATTCACCAATGGAAATACGTTCACAGAACGCTCAAAATTCATGTAAATCACTTTGGGGTACAAATACGAAACCACATCGCACATTAAATACAAACGGCAAACCCACATGGTAATCGATATCAACGTTCAGTAAAACAACCAGGCGTCCTCGTGTAGGCCAACTTATTTCAAGGTCCAATTCCATGTCCAAGCCTCAAAGTATCACTTCCTAATCTATTATTTGATTGGTAGCTTACGATTCAAGTTCGAAAAATATTATATTACTAGACCATATGTAAGACCGAGCAAAGATCGACAACCAGGTATATATCTTAGTGATGATCCAGTTGAAATAAAATTTCTCTTTTGACTTTATATCTTCAAGTTACTCTGAGATTCTACGTTATCAGAATGGTCCAAAAACGGAAGTACGATTACTTAGCAGTAACATTCTCTGTAAATTTGGCAATTACAACTCGGGTCTGTTAGGTTTTTAGAATTATCAGCTTAGATGTTGCAAAGCAGGAGACTGGTTGGGTGTATTGCGAAAGTTGCAGAACTAGAATCCGGCGCAATGAGGAAAGCAAGGCCAGAAAAACAAGAAGAATTTCCCTCTTTTAACATTTAAATGTGTATACACGAAAATGACTGAGGGTAAATTGGCTTGGATTGATTAATGATAAAAATAGCTTTTAACAGTGCAATAGATAAAAATAGCAATAGTTACGAGGAATAAATTGAGAGACATGTAGTAGAATGAGCAATTACGTGAACAAACCTTTCCCCTGGCGCTTAATACAGCTAAACATTATGACGGTGGATAAGTGATGAACCTCGACTTCATACATGTTTGTGGATTATCATTTGAGAATTACTCTTGAGATGGTGGAGATTTGTAGCTCAGGTGGATGATTTTGGTGGAGTTTTGTTCTCTGAGCTGGATGGTTTGGTCGTGGGGCTTTCATCGTTCTTCTGAACGACATAATCAACACAAACTTCAGATAGATAGATAGATAGATAGATCTGAAGTTTGCGCTGATAATGTCGTTCAGAAGAACGATGAAAGCTCCACGACCAAACCATCCAGCTCAGAGAGAATTACTCTCTGAGAGTACTGTGGTCAAAATAGCTAGAAGGATAGCTCAGATGAAAACAAACTGTACTAAAACATTCTGACCATATCCTGTTGTCCATTTTTCGATGCCCGATTTCTGAAATGCTACGTTATGGGGTGTAGTAGTGAGTTTGGAGGACTTTGTTTTATCAGTTTGATATGTGGTAATAAATATGTTCTTGACCATTATCAGACCGCCACGTATTTGACTGTAGCTTAACGAAAATAGACCTACGCAAAGGATCCGGTCTTCATGGTTTTAACTTCGTGATTTTAAATCACGCATGGTCACATGTTTCTTAACCCACTCTGATAAATTCATGAAGCTTTCGAGCGCAGCAACGTGACTTTCGAGAAATGAGAAGCTATAATTCTTCAGTAGTGCCAAAAATAACTCGAAAGTCAACACACCTAACCTACTCCGAAAGACATGAGAAATAGCGAGCCCTTTGTTTGTGTCTCAGTGACAGATACTGATACTTGCCAGGCTCTCTGTTAGCAACGAATATTAATCAGGATTCGTAGAGGTTCCACATAGGCAATGACCTCAGAGTTCATAACCAGTCTGTCGCTTTTATATAGTTTGCGATCCCATAGTATGGAATTTCTGGATGTCAAATGTCAAAACATTTTTCATCCGCTCCCCCGTCTTTCACTAGCATCAAGTCTATGACGCTACCATGAATCTCCTTCAATTATGATAGCTCTCCACAGTTTAGTGTCATCCTAACAGATCGAGACTGATGAGCTAAAATTTTCCAGGAAGTAGCTGATAAATAAGGAGAACTGTGAAGGGCTGTAGTGGCATTGGACCATAACCACACTATCCTCAAAGCTGAATACGAGATTACTCGGGAAATAGGTATTCAATATTTAACGCGAAGAAATACCTAACGATGGAGAAGGCGCGAATAATGAATTGAATAGACTAGAGTTGATCGAACGGCATGGCTCGGCCATGCAGGCGTGGTCTCTGCTGAATGTTACCTTATATCTTCTATTCATATTAAATATATTGTTCTTTCTCTAGCCTAACCTTGTTCTACGTCACGTATTGGTAATTGATACGATACAGTGAGTTGGTGTAGTTGATGGTGTGACTTCCACGTAAGATCTTATAGATTAGGCAGTCATATCATGACAAATCCACAGATTTAGGATTAGGTCTATTATTAGAGCAGTACTAATATCATAGTAGACCACAATTCTACATTGGTGAGCCCAACTAAAGAAACGCAACCTATTATTGCTAACACCTTAACCTTCTCAATCGGTTTTTAGTTTTGTAAACCCAGTATTCTAATAGTCCTTTGATTAATGGTCACATATATTATCGTAATGTTATATCTATTAGTTCACATAACTTACTAGCTCAATCGATAATAAAAGTTGATCATCTATATCAACTAATTAGCTTTGATGGTTCGTTAACAAGCTTTAATAGCATTAACCTACTTCAGCGACATAAACTTGTTTAAACATCAAGCTCTAGCAAATATGACCTGTAAATAGCGTAAATATACATTGGCTAACAATGCAATTAAGGATTGAATAGTTATCTGGATCTAATTCTTAGTGTTTCTTCGCTTAACACCTCATCCTGTTTTAAACTATGCACTATCCTTTTCTTCCGACCACTGCCTGCCTAATTTCATATTCTCGAGTTCCATTGCCAAACAACAAGGATGACACTTCTCTAAAAAAATACGGTGAGTTTCAGCCATAAGTTTCCTGCAATCATAAGGTCATTTTAGATGGCTCGTTCAATGGCTGACAATTATCTGGATTCATTCGATTGTTTTGATCTGAGCGAGTGGCAACAGCATCAAGCACCCTGGAATTAATTGCCATACTGCATGTTTTATTGTGGATACTTTTGGATCATTACTCCTCACGAATGGCGTTATATATGTCGTCCACTGAATAATCTAATTTTCAAAAATAATCTAGGCGAGTTCAACTATTTTACTGGATGATTTTTCTGTACTTAACATGTATATGTTTTCCAGTTGTGTTTGCCACATATTTATAATTATCTTTAGGCTAAATGCAATAACTTCTTATAGAATGTTTATAACGCATCATGTTCCTGCCTGAAGTTTCACAAGCAGTCTAAACTTTAAAATTACTTGTCTGGTCATGTTCATTCTTTTTAAATCGTCATATACGTCAACAACCTGCATGTTAACCTGGTTCATACATACGTTACACTATATCTTCATGTCTTCTAAATTTAGAAATCATCTGAATCGCCTTTAACATTTATCAATAAAGCCATCATGGTCGTTGTTGCTAATCGTATTTGGGTTTATAGATTGGTTTATCATATTAGCAGCCTAAAATGCGAACATAGTTTAGATAATAAGATTAAAAATTTAGGTACTATCAACTGCACTAGTAAAATAACTAAATCCCTAGGTAGCTGTTGGCTAAACAAACGTTTAAAATCAAAACTCCGTAGCCTACTAAAATTAACACTAAACGAATCTTTCTGAATTAAAATTTATAATTAAATTAGGCGTCTCGGATTCTTTAACGTTACAAATTTCTGATGATTTCGAATCACCTAAAGCAACAATGCCTTTTTTCCCACTGGCCAATCTTCAATCAACACTATAACTAATTAAACATAATAGTTTCAGGATATCTTCATAAAGCATTGTCATGACTTGACAATCTCGTAATATGATTGATAAAATTAATGAAACTATTAACAAAATCGGTCAGCAAATTGACTTATAATTATCACTAGTGTTGTTTTTCTTCATTCACTACAGATGATTACAGTATGTTTCTCTATCAGTTGCTCATTCAGTAAATATCTCAAAACTTTGTCAGTCTAATTGATGGTTTAGCGACACAATCATGCATGCAAATAATCAGTATAAGCAGTCGAGCAAATATCCTGCAAACTGAAAACATCAATGTCGAATTTACCCCAACACTGACTAAGGTTCAAGCTATTATCATAGGCATGAGTTGGGAGTGCACTTCCCTTGGTTACAACTTATGTTCTCCCTGATAATCACATGAGCATCACTCACTATTAATCATCTTGTAAAAAATTATTTAGCCAAATACACCTTGCAGCACCACATCACTTAGTAATATGACACATAGGTTTAACTAATTTCAATAACGTATAACCACTATATCTCAATTAAATCGTGTTCCGCCTTATGATAAACTGCATACTTTCAACTAACTTGTATACCCAATCCGCCGGCAAGTATAGATATAAATAAATAGTCTGCCGCAGATCAGAACATTGAGTCTAGAGCATGTCTCTTAAGAATACACTCATGTTTAACGATTTGTTCCTAGCTATCTGTCCAAAATTCACATAATTACCACTCACGTATTTAAATTTTGTTTTGATAACCATTCATGTTTATTAGTAGTATTAATAAATTCTATCACGGTCAAGTAAAAATGAGGTTGAGAAAATCTCCCCGTAACTAAACAAACCGTATCAAACTAACTGGAACACTAGTTGGAATTCTTCTCCACGGTAATACTTTTGTTCCTTCAGTTAGCCTACTAATACAGATGCAATTGGAAATCGACTCATATGGACAACTTACCGGCATAATCGTTATTTGATTTCATAAGTTAGACTAAAAGTAGTACTAATATTAACATTTCTACAATATTCATAACTTTAATATTTCTAAACACAAAATACTTACTACCTATACGTTAAGTTATCAACCAACGGCTATTACACACGCATCGTTTTATTATTACTATTATTATTATTGTAATCCCATTTTTTTTATAGCTCAAATAATCACTCAAATTTTCATTGTAAGCGTGTTAAGCATGAAGGCAGATATTTTAAAATTATTACATGTATTTCCCGACCAGATGCTGCCGTCTTCTTTTTGATTTATCTTTCAGCTTGTCATCACCCGGAGGATTCTTCCTAGTCTTGGTAACCTTCGGCACACTACAGTCCCATCCAATTTGGTATCGAACCAACACTACGTTGATTCTGGTGGGAGAGTAGTGTAGTGGCATTGGACCATAACCACACTATCCTCAAAGCTGAA